CTGTACTAATGTACTACTGTACTACTGTACTACCCCCGGCCCCCAAACAACTTCGACCCCGGACCCCCCAAACAACTTCAGGTCAGAGATATGCGGACCCCCCGTTAATATTACAGGGACTGGACTTGTTTGGGGGGGGGGGGGGGGGGGGGTTTAATAATCAGGAGACCACATTAAGGCCGAGGCTTGAGGTATTATGAGGTTTATTTACGTCATAAGGGTGTTATAAAGGGCTCACGATCAAGATGCATGCTGAATGTCTTTCTCACGTACATAAACGATGCTTTACTTAGAATTATGCACCCCTAGACCTACGATACTAACCCCCCCCAAAACCGGGAGCCTTATTGCAACCCTAATCCCTAGAAACTCTCAACCCGAACTCTGGAATGGGTAGCTTCCCTGAGTGATGTGCCTGCCAGCATATTCCAGCACATCTGACCTAGGCCGATGCAGTGTGGGTTAGTGCATGTATACCGTTGTTGAAATTACTTGTGCTATTCGAGTGCACACACACACACACACGCCACATAGATATACACATGTACTCTGTATGTGTAACTATATGTATACACTCACATGCACACACAATGTTTATATTGCTGCATACACAGTGGCACAACTTGTTTGGTGACCGAGATGGTGGTTATGAGGCCTAGGGATGATGTGATATCGATGTTGGTGATCAATGATCTGGTATGATGTCATGTGATGTTTTTCTTTAGCTAAACGGATTGCTATGTGTATATATATATATGAATATATGTATATACATGTATATATATATATATCATGATGTATATGATCACATGCTATACCAGGTGCTTCGTGTCCGCAATCGGTCCTCGATGCCTATGATGCCTGCAAGACCACCAACGGCAACTCAGCAAAAAAAATCCTTCGGCTGCACATGTCATGAACCTGCATGTTGCACCCGGCCTAAAGATTGATCTAGGCAAAGTTGACAGAACGAAGATGCAAAACCTGTTCCAGAGCTTCCTTGCCTGTGGAGAAGATTGGGGAGAGAGTGAGTTCAGCATGGAAGAGAACACGAGCACGATGACGGATGATGTGAGCACGTCCAGGTGGCTCACACGCAGAGCCTCTCGATACTGATTTGGTGTTAGTGTCGACATGCATGTATGTTGTGTTACAAGGTAGCATGCACATGTTTTGTATGTGTTGAAAGCACAGGACCTCATGGCCAAGTACGGGGACGAAGAAATTGTCAACAGCATTATCCGGGCGAAGGCCAGTGGCGAGGATGTGTCATTAATTTTTAATATGATTCCTAATATATATATACACCTATTCCCGAAACCCTTAGCCCTAAATCTTAAACCCCGAAACCTAAACCCTGCACACTGAAACCTCACACCCATTGCATGAAATCATCATCGACTGTGCTTGCAGGAGGCTTCTGGGGATTACATGGATAATCCTGATGCGCCGGACGTACGAGTTACTTGATTCCGCAAGAGTACCAGTACAGCTCCTTTGCATGTAAGCAAAACATGACTTGTTCTCTCAGGCTTTGCGGCTTTACAAGTGCTTCGACCACCAGGTGGAGGTTAACACGAATAACAGCACTATGCGGACCAGCCGTACCAGGACTGGCGATGCACCGGCATCCAGCTCCAGTGCGCCCCCGCCCACCCCGTCCGTTCCGAAGGGAAAGGGCAAAGGAAAGGGTAAGAACAAGGGCAAAGGCCAGGAGCCGGGTGGTGAGACGAAGACGAAGAAAGAAAAAACCAAGGACCAAATGGCACGCAGTGCAACTAGAATGCACTATTGCCTAGATCTGTTGCCGTGTAGCCGTAGCCTTGCAAAGCTAGCTATCTAGCTATATGGGCTGAGTCGATAAGGCCATGGTCAATGCCAACATGAATCTTTTGGAGATCAATGGCTTCGATTTCCGCTTGAGACAAGCCGGAGTGCTGCTGGGACATGTTTAAATATCAAGGCCTAAACCCCCTAGTCCTGAACTCCTTAATTACTTTTACGAACCTCACGTATACAGTGTAGACTAGGTGCGACACCACAATTCAGCGCTTCTGCTCCAGGGACGGGCAGCTGGCCTCGGCACTTTGCTCATCGATGCTGGAGCTTGCCAAGGAGATGAGGGCAAAGCGTGAGGCTTTGGAGGTGGGGGGGAGGGTTAGTGGAATTTAACGATTCTGGAGATGAGTACTGCTACCTTTGCTTACTTGGGCAGGCCAAGCTGGCCAATGGTGCCACCGAAGCCCAATTCGAGCCCGAGCTACAGCTTTGATGGGTTGCAACGATCGCTACAAGGAAGGCTCTAAGCATGTGAAGCTTCACTTGCCAAAGGCAAGCAAGGACAAGGCCAAATCCGGGGCCAGCCTGTAGGAGCTTGAAAACTGTAGGCAAGTGCTTTAAGTTTTGATGCAAAGGGATTCATAGGGCGCCCAGGGGGAGTGCACGCCGTGGGTTTATGGCCGGGCTCGGCAATATATGATGCTTAAGATCTCCCTGCAGATGCATTTATAAGATCTGTGCTCGGTCATGTGTGCCACTCTGATCCTCTAGGTGCAGGAAACCTCGCAGCCTAGCAGTGCACTTTCAGCATGTGTGTGTCTACACATACATGAAGCTACCTCGAAGACTTACGACGGCCGGATTGCACAAAAGATGTGTTCGGTTTTGGGGTTTAGGGCTTCGAGTTTAAGGCCAGGGTCTGGACTTGGGGTAAGGGCTTAATTGAGTATTCAGTGTCATGTTGATTTAGGGCTTCGAGGTTAAGGGTGGGGTTTGGATTTGTCCACAACTGAACCCAGAAGCCCTAAGGTAAAAGCCAGAAAGTTGGAATATGATTATCATCCTAACCATTCTATGGTAAATTATAGGGTATCCTACCATGAAACCATATTCCAACTTTCTGGAGTTCCCTGTAAACCCGAAGCGACCGAAAACACAAGCCCAAACCCAAGCCCCAAAGCCCTAAACCTGAAGCGACCGAAAGCCAAAGCCCAAACACACGCCCCAAAGCCCTAAACCTGAAGCGACCGAAAACACAAGCCCAAACCCAAGCCCCAAAGCCCTAAACCTGAAGCGACCGAAAGCCAAAGCCCAAACACACGCCCCAAAGCCCTAAACCCGAAGCGACCGAAAGCCCAAGCCGAAACCCAAGCCCCAAGGTCCTAAACCTGAAGTGACCGAAAGCCCAAGCCCAAACACACGCCCCAAAGTCCTAAACCCGAAGCGACCGAAAGCCCAAGCCGAAACCCAAGCCCCAAAGTCCTAAACCCGAAGCGACCGAAAGCCCAAGCCGAAACCCAAGCCCCAAAGTCCTGATCTATATTAATTAAACAATCGGCCCAAATTCGAACCCGAGCATGCATGCAGGAAACCCGCAAGTCGTCTTCAAGACGCCGATATAATTCTATTGAGCCGTTACCGGTACCTCGTATATTTCTGTATGCAGTGCCCTATCGATATTGAACCTGAACCCCAATACCTGGACCCTACCCAAACCCTGTAAACCCTAAATCCCCAGTACCCTGATCAGTATTAAAACCCTAAACCCTGAACCGTAATGCCGACAACCCGAGGCTCCGTGCTGCCGTGAGTTTTGGAAGTGGCTGCCTGGCGATGCTCGGATACTCGAGCTGTGTATCTAGCAAAGACAGCAATACCGATTTAATGTTTATGTGAGCTAGCTGGCTGCTGCTACTTCGTGATCAAGTAGTGCACATTTAGATTTAGAGCAGGTAGGGGAGCCTGCACCAGCGAGCACCGCCCGAAGCCAAAAAGCCTGGCCAGTGGTAGGACTTGCGAGACGATCGTGTGGGGGTATTATTCATATAGTTATGAAAAATCCCTAATCCCGAAACCCTACCCTCGGCCCCGTGCCCTAAACCACCTACAACCGGCCACTATACCTATCCCCTAAACCCGAAACCAAATTTCTTAAACACCGGCCAGAGATCCTAGCTGTCCCCCTATTGTAATTTAATGTTCGGCATATAGAACCCGTCGCTAGTGCCAGAAATCCCAGATCCCGGAAAACCCCACCGCAGATACACGTGGCGAAACTGCCTTTGCAGACCATCTTCTATGCGCTTTGGGAGCTGGGGCCCCTTGGTTAATGATTGCAAGTATTCCCACGATCATGGCAGGATTTCCTATACTGCAACCACTAGATCTAGACCCAGCTGGCCCTGCATATCAATTAATCTAGAGGCTACTTCAGCGGCGCAACTTCGGGAAGCAGCTGCTGCTGCCGTGCAGGAGTCTAGAGGAGCCGTTAGTGACCTTACTCATCGGATAGCCGCATGTGGTACACATGGCAAATTTGCTGGAAATATTGAACGTGACTTGATGCGAGTTCTGAAGATCCCGGTGGACTCTTGCATTGATAGTTTAAGTTTCTGTGGTGTCATTATTAATGAGCTTGTCGTGCCATTTGTAGTATATGTTGTGAATGACCCAGGACATTCATTACTGCACGATCTACATCAAGAACCCCAAGACGCGAACTGGCCACGAGCCGTATCGCTTGCCGTTTCTAATGCCGCACGAGTTGGTGCACTATCTTTGTGTGCCTTGCTTGCATTGTCTGTGGACTTTTCGGGTCTAGGGTAATCTACGGATCCGTTATATGGTGGAGTTCTAAATTTTGATCTAGCCATAGCTAGCTGATTAAGCTTCTATTTTTTGTTTAAGACTCACGGCTTATAATGGGTTTAGGGGTTTAGGGTCTATTGCAATTTCAGGAGTCGGGCAAAGTTGCAATCGATCGTAGCGAAGTTGATCGGTACTGGGGCCACATGGCGCAGTACACTAGCTGGGCTAAGCACCACCCTGCTTGCACTGACAGACTAGTGCCCCTTGGGATTCACGGGGACGATGGCCAGTACAATGCTGCTGGAGACAAATTAATCGTCATAACGGTTAATTTCCTACTGGAAAAAGAATCGCAGCACAGCTTTGGCCGATATCCCTTACTGACATTGAGGGAATTCCTCTGTTCCGGATCAATGCTGGATACATTGCGGCCCGTGCTAGAAATCCTCGCCTGGTCTTTCAGATGCCTGTTCTCTGGAAAGCACCCAAGCTTGAACTGGAGCAACGAAGCTTACAATGGCCGCCACAAAGCTGGCACCCCCATTGCAGGCCTCCATGAAATTCGACGAAATCATCGATATCGCTGCTGCCTAGAGCAGCAGTCTTACGGCTTAGGGTTACCCAGCTTTCGGTCGGGACCTTGGGATATAGTAGTGTAATTAATTCTACTCGAATATAGGTTTGCCTAGCTATCCTTGAAGGCGGTCCGTTCAGCTTGGTTGAGATGCGGGGCGATTGGAAATGGCACTTACAGTTCTGTGGGCTGAAGTGGTTCTGGGCCACTCCGAACTGTTGTCACTGTTGCAAAGCTACTCTTTCCGGGCCGAATGGGCAGCCAGATTGATTGATTATAACCGTACCGGTAAATATATAGTATGCTAGCTATTATTTAGCATATTGCAACCTTGTCCCCAACTCGACCTGAGGTATGCGACATCCTGGACGAAAACCTTTGAGAAGAGACGCCCTGAGGATGTGTTGCTGCAGGGCATGAGGTGGGATTCGGGTGTCTAAAGTCGGTGCCGGTATATCATAAGTGCCCCGGAACGAATACTAATTAGGTGCCCCAGCCCTGAAATGTGCACATTATATATTTCCCTCGACAACCATCCCAAAACCTCATGAAGGCATCCAGCCAACCCGTTGTTCGGGGTGACGGGCGTCCGGCCCGAGATGATTCGTTGGTGTTCCATGCATACATTGAACCTTGGAGTGATCCAGTACTTAAATGGAGCGATCTTTTTGCTGCTGGAAGAGATGGGAGCCTCAGACAAGATTTTGCAATGTAGCTTTGGGCCCCGGGACATCGATGATAGTGCTATATCCTCCCCTGAACAACAACCGTACCTGGACACGCCAAAACTGTAATCTGGATTCCCATAACAGCAGATCCTTCAACCCAGGCTGGTTCAACTCCACGAAGCGGGCAGAGCAGATGGTTCAGCTGTGTGGACGCTTTAAGAATTGGGCGAGCTGCAACTCGCACCGGCAGCTTGGCAAACCCGGACCCTATAAAGGATAACCCAAACCCTTAGAGGAGGATGGTTCAGTATTCCTGGCAGTGTTGAATATCGATAATTTTGCAATCTGCAGTGTTGCAAGAAGGCATGTCAGCACAGCACCAAACTCCAAAACGTGTTGTTTTAAGCCCCGACCCCTTCAGGACCTGAAGCTGCCAAGGACCCGAAAGCGCAATCATTCTTAGGGACACGGGTCCAGCATTAATTAATCTGCCTTAGGAGACTATATTCTTAAATCAGACACCGGTTTAGCTAGGCAGAGCCTCCCAGCTGCAGAAGCCACTTCCATTGCTGTGGCTGCAGGGTTTTCATTGTTCAGGGTTTCAGCACTGCAGTTTCCAGGATGAATGGCTTAGTGCTTCAGGGGTGTGCGGGACCTGTATGTGGCCCCACAGGCAGAAGGGTTACGTATAGCTTCAGGTTGTATATTTACGGACTTGGGTTTAGTTTTCGGCAGTCCGTCGGGTGCAACCCAGTACGTGTTCTATTCGTAGTTCGGTATCGTTATAACGTATACGGTACTACTACTACAACGACAACTCCTGCTGCTGCTGCTGCTGCTGCTGCTACTTGCTTGCTACTATCTACGACGACGACTACTACTACTATCACTAATAATAATAATAATAATAATAATAATATACTACTAGTCCTCAGTACAGACGCTGCTACTTGTACCACTCCTCCTCCTGCTGCTGCTGCTATTAGTACCAGCCAACTACTACGTCGAAGTAACTGCTCGAAATGCAAAACCGGGATCACATATAAAGTCGATATATAAATATATATATATATATATATATATTTATTTATATGTCGACTTTATATGTGATCCCGGTTTTGCATTTCGATGAGCCCAGAACTGGACGGCGAGGAAGCGCCATTTTGCTTTAGGAGTTTAGGGGTTCCGGTGTTTAGGGGTTTAGGGGTTTAGGGGTTTCTGGTGCTTAGGGGATTTCAGGGTTTCGGGGTTTAGGGGTTTAGCTTTGGACGCATAATCTGTTCGTAGCTCTCTCACGTCCCACGCATCAGCCTCGGTACGGGTCTCAAAATTTAATTAAAGATATCATGTTTAGGATAAGAAGCCTCGGGGCTTTATAGTATATATATATATATATAGCTATATCGTCCTCCGATCCGAAGCCAACACTTGCAATACTTGTATAGGTGTGTTTGAACAGATTGGTATAGATATCTATGCCCACTAAACCCTTAGGGAAACCCTTCAAGCATATTTCAGTTTGCATCATTAATTCGAACAAGCCCATCTGCAGCTTGTCAGGGTGGATCTGTATATTCTAGTAACAGGCCATGGTATATTGCCCATCTATAGGCCCTCACAGGGGGTTGCTGGTGTAGATCCGGGATGGAGTGCGAGTTTTTGTCTGAGACTTTTTATCGACAAAGTCGTTGGGCTCCACACGGCCTATTGCTGCCTGCTACTACGACGACGACGACTACTACTACTACTACTATTACGACTACCGCTGCTATTGCTGCTGCTACTGCTACCGATAATTATCTGCTGCTGCTACTGCCAAGAAGTACGATTTCTTGCATCTTCCCGATGTGCAATTAATCCTACCTATGCTGTGCAAAGTCATTCCTAAGCTTTGTCACATTGCATGGTTCGGCAGATCTGCTCTTTGAAGGAACGACGAGGAAGGAAGCAGACGCTCGCATGGTGTGCTTGGAGCATGTCGCATGGCGCCTTTAAACAGCATGCTGCTGGCCTGGCTGGATGATAATGCACTAGGTCCATTCGCATACGTACATTGCATCGTACCGATCGAGCATGCCTGCAGGGTGGCCGCATGTGGCTGTTGTCGCACATGGTGCACGAGCTTGCATGATTCCACACGTTCACGGCCTTTTGTGATCCGGGTAAATGTGAAGCCCTTCCGTGTCCGGCTGTGTATTCGCTTCATTCAACAACCAGATGATCAGCTGGTGCTTCTTGTGAATAATGCGGGGCCGGACGAAAGCAAGCCTGGGCCTACAAAGGTTGCAGAGCAGGGTCACAACAAACCGAACCGAAAGGCAAACTGCAAGCTTAAGTATACCAAGCTCCAATTAAATCAAGCACCTGGTGCCCATACATCTCTAAACAAAATCGCCGAGGCACTCTTTGGCAACGATGCCCGCTGGCCTACTTGATTTGGAGCAGGGCACTTACCCTGTCCTCAAGCTGAAGGCGTGGAATGGACGATTGATGATTCTTTTTTTGGCCGTTGCCCTGAAGGGGCTCTCGGAACCTGGCGATGATCTGTTGCGAAAGGAACGCCGGGCGGCGCTGGCGGCTGCCGAGTGTGTTGCTTGCATTTTCGACAGATCCGAGCGGGCTGCTCGACTGCTCACGGAGCAGGAGGCCGAGTCGATCAGCGAGGCAATTTTGAAGTTCCTCATGATTTATAAACAACTGGTGAAAATTTCGGTGTCTCGGAATTGCCCACGATACAAGATTATCCCGAAAATGCATGCATTATTGCATGTTGGGGAGGATGTCCGGGACACCCGCTGCAATTTTAGACACTTTCATTGCTTCATGGACGAAGACTATATAGGGCAGATGAAGGAGTTGACAATCAAACTGCCAAAAGTAGGCGGCGGCCTGGAATATAGATTGCTCACTCGATGGCTGCTCCGTCTGGGTGCCTCGAGACCACTTCGTGCTGGCGCAAAGTGATTTCTGCCCACTGCTCTGGGCGGTCAATCAAGATGTTTTTGTGGGTGGTCTACATCTGGCTCAGCTACACTAGACTCTGGCGAGTCTAGTGTTGCTGGCCAGCTGTAGCTCTTCCACTGGGCGTGCACCGGCTCAGCCTTCACATCTTGATTCTTTGAAGCACTTGGGAAGTTTGGCCTTCGGGATGGTATCTGGCTCATCACGACTGGTGTTGGCGTTGGTCAGTTCGGAAGCCCTCGCGAGCTCAGCCCTGGCGAGCCTGAAAAAGCTTTTCCGAGGAGAACTCTTCAACGCACACAGTTGGCCCAAAGCCTTGTCTCAGCCTGTTTACCCGGCCTAAACCCTTAACCGACCTCAGAAACTTTCTCGAACCCTTAAGCTGTGGACCTGGGCCCAGGCCTTGTGTAGATGGCTATTCTCGCTCCTAGCGCTTATTATATATAACCTTAAGAAAACCCTGCCTCAAACCCGAACAGGAAACAAATTCAGCTTTTCAGGCTGGCCCTCGCTGTTGAGCTGCATCCTCGAAGTATATATATATATATATATATCCGAATAGGGGAGTGCCCATGATCTTTTGAAGATTTCAAGGGTTCCCTTGATAAGTCCAGGGTCTTGTCTTTCAATTTCTTCGGGCTTCCTGCTGGTAGCTAGTACGTACATCACACCCCAACGAGAGCTCATAGTGCCCAAATGAACAGGAAATCCCATCGTCTAGCTTTAATTCTGTCATCCATCAGGCTTCCGGGTTCCCAAGGCTCTATACTCTCCCCACATATATATATATACCCATAATTCTATGGATCTATGGAATATGCTATGACCATGAAAATTGTGAGCGTTGGCCCATTATGGGGGTATGATCATAGTTATCGTGATCTTAACGCAAAAGCTGCACTATAAGCAAGCGTTGGATTCAGAGGGATAGTAGTTCCTTTTTGGGTTTAGGCTCCATAGTAGCTCCTTTTTGGGGTTCAAATTTAAAATCCTATAAGGTAATCCCATAAAGGAACTACTATGGAGCCGGTGGGTAGAGGGCTTTCAGAGGGTTTGGTTAGAAGGGCTTGAGCGGATTTTTGTAGTGTTATATGAAGGGAGGCTTTAGAGGGCTTTCATAGGGCATGTTGTTGAAGACAAGCCTTGTAGGGTTTTTGTGGTGTTTTATGAGGGGTTCAAAAGGCTTTCACATGTCTCTGGTCGGCTTTTGCGATGCGGCCTGAACAGTACAAAGTGTTTTTTGGCCACCTCCGGAATCACGATCGGTAGGGATCTCGCAAATACGGTA